TGCAGAGAGAGTTAAACACTACTAGCTTCACAGATTTAAACATAGTTTAAATACCTGATTAAGTCCCTACTGTCCAAGCTAATCTAAGCACGTAGACTTAATTAACACCACAACAGAAGCTTTAATCTAACCATATACATCAATTAAACCCTCCATAATCACCCTGCATTCAACTGAATACTCCAGAAACAACTACTGCATGCAAAACTTACTGGAGAACGAAGAAAAAAATAAAAATTCACCAAATGAGACGTTTCCAGAAAGTGGAGCCGCCTCCTTTAGACCTTGGAGCCGCCTCCACATCAAAAGGGAGCCGGCTCTCTCCCTCTCTGCCTCGTCTTCTCCGATCCCGACGTCTTCTGCACCCTCTATGTCCTTCTATTATAGTTTGCAGAGGTTGAAACTAAACCTCTAAACATTCCTAGTCTGTGTTTAAGCCCTTATTACATCACCAACAAGAATTTAAATAACCAAACATGCAAGTAAAATTCATGTTTTAACAGGTTTCTATGCACACAACACATACTGATATGTTTCAGTTTTTAGCACGAACAGAAAACATCTTTTGTTTTAATTGATTCAATTTAATCCTAGAATTATTTAGGAATGCAAAGAACACGAAACCTAAGGGAGAAAGTAAGGATAGAACTTGCCTTACACCGACTTTCGGCTCAAATTTCCGGCAAAACCTCAGTTTCTTCACTTGGTTGTTTCCCCAGACGTCTCCAAACTTCCTGTGTCTTACTATGGCATAATATATTTCTAAAACCCTAGGCAGACACCGTAGGTGAATATTTATAGGCCACACTAATCCTAGGCTCCCTTAAACCCTAATTGAAATTACTTGGCCCATAAAAACTACGTTAAATTCCATGTCGGCTAACCTATATCCAACCAATCCTACAGTCACGATAAAACTGATTAAATTGAATTAAATCAAGGCAATTAAACAATTAAATTTAAATTCAAATAAAACAACTAAATTACCACTTAAATAATTAAATCAATTAAATTAAAACAATTAGCAAATCAATTAAAGCACACTAATGAAAAATTAAATAACTAACCACAATGTCAGCAACAAAATTAACACATATACACTTCAACAATTTAAAAATGCAATTTAAACAATAAAAATAATAAATTAAAATACCAGGACTATCCTTTTGAAATTAGGGGTATTACAGTGTTCGTATCGTATTATGGTGTCGTGTCTTAATTTGCCACCCCTAAGAATAATGGGTTTCTTGGTTTGGCATTTTGACGATGGCAATATGTAGAATTTTAAATTTTTTTTTTTTTTTTATGAAAATATTTTGAATTACTGAACTTGTCAGAGTAATTCAACCTTCTAAAGTTGTTTATTGTGAGAGAAATGTGATGATATAATATATTTTGGATAATGGATTTTACGGATTGTGCAACTAGTGAATTAGCTGAATTTAAACCAACTAGAACCCTATGGATGGAGAAATTTCATTCCATTTCTTTGTTCATCACTTGAAGGATGAATTGCTCCCAAAAAGGAATCTATTGATTCTCTCCTAATTGGTTGGACGATGATTTACTTCACGGGTGAGGTCTTTGGTTCAAGTCCAAGATGGCCCAGTTGCGCCAGGGAAAAGAATAGAAGAAGCATCTGACTCTTCATGCATGACAACTCTCACTAAGGAACTCCGCAAAATATCCATTTCTATTCTCCATCAAGAGACATATAAGAAAAACAAATATTTTGTAAGCATGTCATCCTTTGAAGTCAATAATCACTGAAAGAGAACAAATATTTTGTAAGCAAGGCCTTGTCAACAATTCATTTAAAGCAAACCGATCATGAAACACTTGTTGTTGGCTTGCGTTCTAATTGTTGTGATACAGCTAAATTTATAAGAATAAAGAACAACATCATCACGATAATGTCAACATGATATCATCCCTCACTCATATAAAACATTCATACATCCAACTTTGGAACTACTTAAATTTAAAATTTACATCTAAATTAAAAAAACCTCAAGTCAACAAAAACACTTTCCTAACGCCTACTGAATTAGTGGGGTTTTGCAACTAACCCCCTGAATTACAAAAAATCTCCTTGAATTATAGTTTTATTACAAAAAAACCCCCCTAAACTATTGATGTACTACATTCCGGTAGGTGACTTGGTCAAAAATATGAAAAGACAAATTTGCCCTTATTTAAAATTACATCGTTTTGGAGAGTGGCCTTTGATAATTTCATAAACCTAAAAAAAAAAAAAAAAAAAAAAAAAAACAAACACACACAGTGCTGTTGTCTCTCCCCTTTCTTACTCTCTCTGTTCTCCATTTTCTCTCTCCTTTTCCTCGCATCCACATAATCTTGCAGTAACCAACACCAATCCATCCCCATCTGAAGCCCACTCCTCCAACGACTCCTCCACAGGAACCTATTTTCTTACTCATCCGAAGCCCTCTCATCCAGGCACGGACCCAGCAGGTGACCAGGGGGCAGATGACCCCCTTTATTTTCATTTTATATCCTAATTTTTTAAAGTTTTATGAAAATGCCCCCCTAAAATTACAATTCGCCCTCACTGAATTCTTTTTTTTAGTATTTTATACATCAAATTTTAATAATTTATGAAAATGCCTCTACTAGAATTATAATTTGCCCAACTGATTTTTTTTTTTTTTTCATTTTATACTTTAAATTTTTTAAAATTTATGAAAAAAACCCTATTAAAATTACAAAAATGAACCCATCATATAATTTTGCACCCACAAATTAAAAAGCCACCCCTGGTAAAATTTTCTGGATCCATCACTGTTCTCATCCGACGCCCACAGCCTCTCCGTCCTCTTCTCCGCCCTAAACCCCCCCCCCCCCCCCCCCCCCCCAACACCCCCTTATCTCCGGCGCCTCCACTGACTCGGGTACTTCATCGATCTCAGCCTCGGCACCGCTCCCCAGCGCCTTCTAGCTCCTCATGGCTGACACCCGCAACAACTTCGTCTAAGTCACCTGCTCCGCTTGTCGCAGCCACTAAGACAACCGCTCACAGGGATCGTCTTTCCACGCCCACTGCTCCACCACATTCTCTCCCATCACTATTCATTCGCATCCATAAACCCACCAAATACCTTTTAATTTAGACACCCAAACACCACCTGGTGTTTGGATTCATTTTCAGGACAATTACAGCCGTCCATGGTGATTTTGGATTCGCCACCGGGAAATCTGAAGAGTCGAAAACAGGTGAGTGTACGAACGGGACTTCGCGTGGTGCGGGAAAAGTCGATCTGCGTCGTCGGTGGTGGCGTCGTTCAGCAATTGGATTCGGAGATAGGGTTTGGCTTCATCCGTAACCAAATCCACCTCCTCCGACCTCAACCCCGCCGCCGCCACATCAACTCCACCACATCTATACACAAATTTGCCCTTTAGGAATGGCTTTTAGATCTATTCCTTGTATTCTGGGTTTGGCGTTTTGACTTGCTTTGAGCGATAGTTACATACATGCGTGTATGCATCCTCTGTGTGAAATTGGTTGTGTTCCACGTTGCGAGGAAGATCAACAGTGAAGATCAACAATACAAGGGTGTGTTTGGGGGTTTAAAAGAAGGGTGAATTTAATAGTTAAAATAAAGGACATTAGTGTTTTTTCACAGTCATGAGGGCATTATAGTTACTAAATTTATAATGCATGTCATGTGACCATCACATGATGACTTTATCAGTAAGAGCCGACCGGTGAGGGTCATTTTCAATAAAAATGCATAATTTAAAGAACTAGTTGCAACTTTGGTAATATAGGTAAGATCCGACCGGTGGGGGTCATTTTCAACAAAAATGCATAATTTAAAGAACTAGTTGCAACTTTGGTAATTCAGTAGGTTAATTGCTCATTCTCTAATAGTTCAGGATTATATATATATATATATTACATTTTACCCTAATCCTTATTCACATCAGTCTTAACTGTCTAAGACATCACAGACTTAAATGAGGATGAGGAGCCACCGAAGCTGACTTGACTTGACTTGAGACTTCACAGAGTCTTTTTACTTTATTTTTTTATTTATTTTCACAAAGACTTAAAAATGAGGACGAGGACATAGATTTTGGATGAGAAAAATAAATAACATTTTATTAAGTATGATAATAAATTTTATTGTATACTTGGTGCTTCAACAAATTTCATCCATTTCTTTGTTCACTTGATGGAGAATGGAAATGATATACAAAGCATATTAAATGCATAATAAAAAAGAGAGAAGAAGAAGAAGAAAAACAAATATTTTGTAAGCATTGCCATCTTTTGAAATCAATAATCACTGAAGGAGAACAAAAATTTTGTAATTAAGCAATGCCAAACAAGGCCTTGTCAACGTAAACCTAGCATGAAACACTCGTCATTCACTTGCCTCCTAAACCATTTCATCAATAGTGGTTGGTGGGAATATGGATTGGAAAATTGGAATATGAAAAAGTGTTCTGTTGACTTTGACGTGTCCATTTATAAAAATAAAAAAAATAATAATAATAATTGGGCCGAAAAGACTTACACATATTTAATTAACTCATGCAATAAATAAGAATAAGGGTGCAGGGGACTTGTATGAAATGTGGGCAGGCGGCTATAAGAATTTCGGGGCAAGGCAGAAAATGAATTGTAGAATGTTTGAAGGTTCAAGGGTTGACTCAATCGATTTGAACTTGGTGCACCCCACAGTTTTGTGTATAAAAATAATGAAATACGAAATTTCTCATTTTATTTGAATTTTATGTAACAATAAATTTGTATGTATGGATTTGAATGGAAGGTTGTTGTTTATAAGGATTTTTATCACTACTCATAGAAAATCAAACGCGGTTAAAATTGGTCACGTCTAATAATAAATAAACAAAATATGTTCACAATAAACTAATATGCTGCATTTTTATTGGCCAATTCACCACGAGGCCTTGTCAACGTAAACCTAGCACGAAACACTCGGTCATTCGCTTGCGTCCTAAACCATTTCATCAAAAGTTCTGATACAGAATCGGATGCATCCAGTCAAATGCTTCCAGTCATTTTCCGTTTAGTTAAAAGAGGTAGTTGATAGTATATTCCACTAGTATTCCTATAAAATATGACACACTTCAATCTTCCTAAACTCATAATTTCCTTCACTTAAACAACTGTTTCTCTGATTACAACTTCTCAGACGGCTATACACACCCTCCTCCTAAAATCATCATGCACCTAAGCTTTTCTGTTCTCTCTCAATCCATGATCACCTTTTTCTTCTTTCTTCTAATCCCTTTTGCATCTCCGCTGAGCTTCAATTTCACAAATATTGCCCCCAACAATACAAGAGGCTCCATAAACGTCACAGGAGATGCTTACATTTCAGACAAAGGCATCCAGCTCACCCCGGATCCAGATGATCACAACACATCGTCGTTACAATGGAAAGGAGGCCGAGCCACGTATATCGAACCCCTGCGCCTTTGGGACAGGGCTGCAGGACAACTAGCGGACTTCAATACACATTTCTCCTTCTTCATCGCTAAAAGATATTACAACGACTCTATTGGCTACGGGCTTGCCTTCTTTCTTGCTCCCAACGGCTCAAATATCCCCAAAGATGCATTGGGTGGTCGCATGGGTCTCACCAACAGCGAAGAGGCGAATGCTTTCGTCGCGGTGGAGTTTGATACTTACAGGAACAATGAGTGGGAACCTGACACAGATTTCAACCACGTAGGTATCAATATCAACTCTTCAACTTCTGCTGTTAATAAGCCATGGTATGATATTTTCAATAATGGGACAACAAATGAGGCTTGGATTAGCTACGATTCTAGCTCCAGAAATCTTAGTGTTGTGTTCACACTTGTTGGAGATAATTCCACTATCCAAAAGCATGACCTTGGTTATGTAGTCGATCTTAGAGAAAACTTGCCGGAGTGGGTTACTTTCGGCTTCTCGGCCTCAACCGGAGATCTCTTCGAAAAAAATAGCATCAAATCGTGGGCGTTCAACTCCACTTTACGAAATGTTACTGATACAAAAGAGGAAAACAAGACAGCACCAGCACCGAATGGAACTGAGGAAAACAATAGAGCACCAATGGTGGAGTTGAGCGTTGGCTCGTGTGCTTTGGTTTTGTTGGGCTGGCTTTGGTTGGCTTTGTCTGTTTGATGTAGATCATTAATGGTTTTTGCATCTTTATTATTATTATTTTTTTCCTGATATGTAATTCATCGGGAATAATTAAATATATATATAATTTTTCTCTTGAATTTGTATGAAAATCTTTACTTAATATAAAATTCATCGGGACTAATTATAATTCTTCAGAAAAAAATAAATTAATTTATTTGTTGGACTGTTTTACATAATTTTCTGTATAAACAATTATTTTGAAAGAGGAAAATATTTTTCAATAACTTTCCCTCAACTAAATTTCTGACCTTGCAATCTTAATGATTAGATTATAGAGTTTGTACAAAAAGCACAATTACGTGTGGGACACAATTCTCTTAGGTGTGGGACACAATTCTCTTAGATTGGAAAACGGGACTCGTGGCGGCCATTTAACCTATTGTAAAAAATCTATAATTTATTGGTAAACACTTGATGCCAAACTTTGCACAATTCACAATGTAACATCCGATAAAATTGGAACGATACAGAGAAGATTAGCATGACCCGTGCACAAGGATGACATGCACAAATTGACAAATGGTCCAAATTTTTTGTGTTCGATTAACGTCGGGTATTTCACAAAAAAAAACTAACAGGCGTGTGACCTAGCGGTATAAGGCTCCTACTTTCCAAAGGGAGGTCAATGGTTCGAGGCAGTGTGTGTGAGTCCCAACTAAAAAAAAAAAAGAAAAAAAAAAGAACATCATTTCTAGAAAATTTAATAATGAGGTCAATTAAAAATATATATATATATGCAAGTTTCAATCCAACTAAATTACTAGAATCTCTAATTTTGTAAAAAAATTATAAGATAAAAGTATAAATATATTTATAACATATATAGTTAAACGTGTATAAACAAGTTATACAGGTTGAACCTCTAAATCCAAACATGACACTATTATTTAAACGAGTTAATCATATTGACTTATTTATGAATAAACTCGTTTAAAGTTAACCCAGACCCGCTTAACTCGTATTATGTTCGAATTATATTAACAGATCGTATCAAACTTTTTCACCCCTAATTAAAATTGACGTTAGTGTGGTACGCAAAGTACTCTTGGAATCAATTTACTACTTGATCTATTGTGAATCAAAGAAATGATTCTTATTTAATTTTTGACTACCCTTTTAAAAGGTAGAAGACCGACCCTCCTTTTATAGGAAAATACTTGGTAGTGGTGTTTAGCTATGACTTCCATTTTGTTATCTTCTCCATCATGATTTAGGAGAGATATATATGAGAAAGTTGTTATCCTCATTTTCTTGGTAGCTTATCTTATCCTTGTACTCCTAGGCGGATTCAGAAATTGCCAATGGAGTAGCTAATACTAATAATATCAAGCCCACCTATACCTAATTTTAGCACAGCCTATATATATATATATTTGGCTGTGCTAAAATTAGGTATAGGTGGGCTTGAGCACACCAAAGCCCCCCTTTATCCGCCAGTGTCCCCTCCTCCAATCGCGGTGGTTTCCAAGCTTGGCTGTCAAGTCTAAGGCCAAGTCATTTCTCTTTCTTTTTAACACGCCTCTATTGTAAACCTCAAAATTCCAAGTTATGTTGCTTTCGATTTGAGTCAACCATATGTGATGGCCAATGTTTTAACTCTTTAATAAAAGGAGTAATTATTATGAGCTTTAATTGGCTCGCTCCTTTAACAAGAAGAGTAGCCTGCTCGAATTTGATCAGCTTGTCTCTTTAATAAGAAAAATAATAATCTCGAGATTTACTAAACCCGCTCTTTCAATAAGGAGAGTAATAGTCTCGAATTTCACAGAGCCCACCGCTTTAATAATGAGAGTAATAGTGTAGAGCTTCACTCATAAATCTCACTTTATCAGAAGAAAATTAATAATAATAACAAAAGTATTTTAAGCGTACAGAAGACACAAGAGATCTAAGTATATGGGGATATTTTCCAACTTTTTAAAGCAATGTTAAAATCAATAATTCAAGTTTGGTAATGGATGAAAATGGACAAGCCCAAGTTGGTTCGAGGACAATGACCTCCAATCCCAATATAGTGGTTGGGAGATTGGCCTTGATGGGAATATGGATTGATATAAAGAGGAAAATGGGGATGAGCTTAATTGTCTTTAATGCGTCCATTGATGACTACTATTTTGAACATGTCAGTGGACCAAAGAGACTTCCACATATTTAATTGACCTCGTGCGATAAATATGAATCAATGTAGGACAGGACTTCTATGAAATATGGGCAGGCTATAAGAATTTTCGGGCAAGGTGGAAAATATATTGTGGAATGCTTGAATGTTGACTTGTTGAGAGTTGACTCAATAAATTTGATTTACTAAATGTCATATATTGAATTCTATCTCTGCTAAAAAAAAAAAAAAAGAATTCTATGTAATGGTAAATTATAAGTGTGGATTCGAATGAAAGGTATAAGGATTGATCACAAAAACATACGGAAAAATACTCAAATAAAATATATTTTTATACTTCTCTTCTATTATATTTGATATATGGGAATTATAATATTTAAAAAATGTAAGACCCATATTGTAAGGCGCACAATTCTCTTATTTATTTGATTTGCTCTAATAATTAATTAATTTAACTGAAAACAATTCAAGTTTCTAATACAAAACAAGTTTCATTCATTAATTTTTAGGGTAAAGTACAGCCACACCCCTTGAAGTTTGGTAAAAGAATACTCAGATGAAACTTATCTCTTTTTTGAACAAAGACACCCCTTTACATGAAAAAAAAAAAAAAAAAAGTAAACAATATAAAGAACAGTCAAATGGTAATTTAGTTAATTTCTCATGTAATGGGGTGTTTTTGTCCATTTTTGAACCTTCAGGTGTCTTTGTCCAAAAAATAAATAAGTTTCATCTTAGTATACTTTTGTCAAACCTCAAGGGGTGTTGGTGTACTTTACCCTAATTTTTAATTATTGAAACCGTTAACTTGCTAGGTTTGTTTGTTGTATACTAACTAATTTGGCTTACTAAAAAAATTCTAATAATATTAATGGAATGAGAGATATTCTTTAGAAGACAAATACATTTGAATTTGTTTATTTTGTATAATTAGTTGGTTAAATACGCATAATTTTTCTCTTCAATTTGTATAAAAATCTTGGTTATAATAAAAATTCATGGAAAATAATTGTAATTGTGACAAATGAAAATATTATCAATCAAAATTAAGTTCTTTGTTCAAATTTTTTTTTTTTTTTTTTCTACGACTTATTTTTTATCTTATTATTCTTCAACGTGCCTCCTCAACCAAATTTCTACCTCGATCAACTTAAATTTAGTGACAGATTCACTTCACCTATTGATCCGCTGACATTCACTCCAAACCCAAATATTCCATACCCATTATAGTCTAGTCATCAAAAGGATAAAATTTTAGTTTGGCCTTGGTGTGAAAATGGATAGAAATATAGGAAAATGAATAATTATTTAATTGTCTTTGAATTGTCCATTCACAAAGACTGAAATGAGGATGAGGAGCCACGGAAGCTGACTTGACTTGAGTCTTTTTTTTTTATTTGCAGAAGACTTGAAAATGAGGATGAGGACACAGATTTGGGATGATAAAAGTGAAGAGCATTTTGGGAATAAGTTTTAATGTACTTGGGTTATGTAAATTTTATTGTATACTTGGTGCTTAAACAAAATGCATAGCAGAAGAGAGAGAGAGAGTGAGAAATAAGAAAAACAAATATTTTGTAAGCAATGCCAATCGAGGCCTGGTCAATAATTTATTTAGGCTGTGTTCGACTATATAAAATTGAAAAAAAATAATTTAAAAAATTAAAAAAAAATAATTTAAAAAATTGAAGTAAAATTTTCTCTACTTTGACCGATTCGAATTCAAAACCCCAATTCCCTGCGAACACAACTTAGAGTATACTCTGGTCATTTTCTGTTTAGTAAAAAGAGGAAGCTCATAATAGTGCAGGCTGTGCAGCAATTATGAGTCGCACTATATAAAAAAATCCTATAAAATAGGATACACTTCAATCTTCCTAACTCATAATTTCCTTCAGTTAATAACTGTTTTTCTGCTTACAACTTCTTTAAGTGTATACCCTCCTCAAATCATGAAGCTAAGCTATTCTGTTCTCTCTCAATCCATGATCACCTTTTTCTTCTTTCTTCTATTCCCTTTTGCGTCTCCACTAAGCTTCAATTTCACAAATATTGGACCCAACAATACCAGAGACATAAACACCACACAAGATGCTTATATTTCAGACCAAGGCATCCAAATCACTCCAGATCCAGATGATTATCAGCACAATGCAGCGTCGTTAACCTGGAAAGTTGGTCAAGCCACGTATGTCAAACCTCTGCACCTTTGGGACAGAGCTGCAAGACAACTGGCGGACTTCAACGTCCATTTCTCCTTCCTCATAGTTCAAAGCTATAATTTCGATAATTTGGCTGAGGGGCTTGCCTTCTTCCTTGCTCCCAACGGCTCAAACATCCCTGATCTTGCAAAGGGGGGTCGGCTTGGTCTCACCAACAGTGACGAGAAAAATATTTTTGTTGCGGTGGAGTTTGATACTTACAAGAATGATCAGTGGGAAGCTGGCTATCCTGTCGGTCACGTAGGTATCGATATCAACTCTTCAACCTCTGTTGCTCATAATTCATGGTATAATAATTTTACGTCTGGGATAACAACCGATGCTTGGATTAGCTACGATTCTAGCTCACGGAATCTTAGTGTTATGTACACACTTGTTCAAAATGATTCCACGGTCGTAAAGCGTGACGTTGGTTACGTAGTTGATCTTAGAGATGTCTTGCCAGAATGGGTTACTTTTGGCTTCTCAGCCTCAACAGGAGATCTCTTCGAAAAAAATAGCATCCGATCCTGGGAGTTCAACTCGACTTTACGAAATATTGATGATGGAAAAGGGGAAAACAAGACAGCACTAGTGGTGGGGTTGGGCGTTGGCTCGTGTGCTTTGGTTGCTGGGCTGGCTTTGGTCGGCTTTGTCTTATGGAAGACAAAAATTAGAGGGAAAAAACAACAAGATCTCATCGTTGATCCGTCTATGAAAGGAGAATTCGAGGATAGAGGACCTAGGAAGTTTTCGTACAGTGAATTGGCTAGTGCTACGAATAGCTTTGCAGAGGAAGAAAAGCTTGGAGAAGGAGGGTTTGGTGGGGTTTATAGAGGGTTTTTAAGACAACTGAACTCCTATGTTGCTGTCAAAAAAATATCCAGTGGGTCTAAACAAGGCCTAAAGGAATATGCAACAGAAGTAAAGATCATTGGACAAATGAGGCATAGGAATTTAATTCGACTCATTGGTTGGTGTCATGATAAGGGTGAGCTACTAATTGTTTATGAGTTCATGCCAAATGGCAGCTTAGATTCCCATCTCTTCAAAGAAAGAAGCTTGTTATCGTGGGAAGTAAGGTACAGAATTGCTCAAGGCATAGCTTCAGCATTGCTCTATCTACACGAAGAATGGGAACAATGTGTTCTGCACAGGGATATAAAATCAAGCAATGTTATGTTAGATTCTGATTTCAATGCTAAACTCGGGGATTTTGGTTTAGCTAGGCTTGTTGACCACGGAAAAGGATCTCCAACAACGAATGTTGCAGGGACCATAGGTTACATGGCTCCTGAATACATCCTTACATGGAAAGCTAGCAAGGAAACAGATGTCTATAGCTTTGGAGTTGTTGCCTTAGAAATAGCATGTGGAAGAAAACCCGTTGATCTCAACATCGATGAAACTCAAACAGTCATGGTGAGTTGGATTTGGGACTTTTACGGAAGTGGAAAGCTTCTGGAAGGAGTGGACCAGAAACTAGGTGGAGCTTTTGATGAGCAAGAAATGGAACGCTTGATGATTGTTGGGCTTTGGTGTGCTCATCCAGATCCCAATCTCCGGCCTTCAATAAGGCAAGCAGTTCAGGTCCTTAGTTTCGAATCTCCACTGCCTGTTCTCCCATCAAAGATGCCGGAGTCAGCATCCTATGATTTTCCAACAAATATGCCGACATCTTCAATTTCTTCATCATCTGGTGGTACTTAAGTGTGCAGGAGACCCAATCTATTTTGTTCTCCAAATAATAAGGGAAGTTATAAAATCTATAGGCCTACACTACTCTCCCGAATATTTTGGGTTTTTCTTGGTTTTATAATTTGTTTTTGATATGTTTGGCAGTATTGTTCAATTATCTATATATGAGTAATGTCATTGGATAATACCCCCAAGCGTTTTTTGGTACCTCTCTTTTGAGTTGTGGAAACGTTCTAGGGTTCTCTACCTAGTGTCTTTTGGAACTCTTCCATTAACTTTTTATTACTTCTTGACATAAAAAATTCTACTTACTAAGAGTCCGTTTGGTTAGACGAAAAATTATGATGGAAAGTGCAAGTAAAATTTTCATTATACATTTGGTTAACAAGAATTTTTTTCAAGAAAAATATTATTTTGTGAGTTTGAAAAGAATGAAAGTGAAAAGAAAATGATTGCAGTTACCAAAATTATCTTAATTATAAGATTACTTTGTACTCTTTTGAGATATTACTCTATCCTCTGAATTATGAACAAAATTAAAATTTTAAGTTCTAAATGAAACAATGAATCTGATATTTAATAATTTTATATATGTGATTATAGGTAAAAGTTTAATTAATAAAAAATTTTGTTCCGAAAAATATTTAGAAAAAAAGATTGAAGTTAATATATATACTTTTAGTCATAGAAAAAAAAAAAAAAAAAAAAAATTGTTATGAGCCTAAACGAAATACAAGGCTTCAACTAAATTAGTTTGATACATCTAGAATTAAAATTAAATTAGTTTGGTATATCTAATTACTTAGAGTTCTAAAATCAAGAAAAGTCTATGTATAAAAAAAGTACATGTACGAATTAAATTGTAAATTGTATGCGTAGAGACACTAATCCTAATTTTTCACCCAACATTCTGATTAGATTTATATATATATATATATATCACTCTAAATCATTATTAATTATGGAAAGAAAAAAATATAATAAAATTTTAATTTTGTATGCATGTATAAAACTATATACAATTAAAATAGTATTACATTATTATAAAAGCAATTTACAATAGAAGGAAACTGATCTATTAATAGATTGCGAGAAATTTACTTCCTAAAATTTTTTTTTTTTCACGCTAACCAAACTCCTAACAAATTTAAAAATTTCTGAACCAAACGAACCCTAAAAGAAAAATGAAAAGAAAAGTAATTTGCCAACTCCCTAGTTAAGGATTACATCCTATGGTTCTAGGATTATAATACAAAAAAAAAAGGGTAATATGCACATAACACCCCTATATTATGACATTAATACCATATATATCTCCTTGGACATTTTTTAAAGAGTAAAACGGATATTACAATACTAATTGAGGAGACCAGAAGTGATATGGGCCGGATATGTCCCGCGAACATGGCATCCGGTCCGAGCAGCTGGGTCCAGCCCATAAAGAAATACTGCCATATGGGCCGAACGCGAATAGCCCATCGAAGATGACCAAAGCCCACAGAGGAACGGGCCCAGATCTAGCAACCCATTAATGTTTGTAAATACCTATAAATATGAGAAGTAAGGGGGAGAGAGATTCATTCTGTTGAAGTATAAGAATTCTAGAGAGAGAAAATGGAAATGAATTCTTTGCATCTTCAATTGGCGCCGTCTGTGGGAATCGTTGAAGATTGATTGATCATTGATCAATATCGCGTGGATTCAGACCAATTCGTGAAGACGAAACTCGATCTTTGGGAGTTGGATTCAGATCTGAGAGATTGTGACCTATTCTGGAGGAATTTTAGTTCTGTTGTTTTGACAGAAGTGGCTTCAGATCTACGCAACAACGAGTTGTTTGATTGCGGCCGGATCTGACGGATTTAGAATTCGGAGAATTCAGATCTCGTCAACCGTGAGCATAACTCGGAGAATTCGAGTCCAGATCTGAAAAATTCGCGCTCACGAAGCTCAGATCTACTCAAGAACTTGAGATTAATGCCTTTACTCCGTTCAGGAATAATGACAGGTGAAAGCTCCAATCCGATGGAGGCTGTCCAGCAAACGAAGCTTAAGGAGTTGATGAACTTGATCGAAGCTCTCAAAAGAGAGAATGCAGAATTGAAAGCTGGAATGCAACATCAGCAAATGCTGGCGGTTCCGCGTCCACTTCCGGCCGGTGAAGGAGGTATTCAATCTAATATCGCACATCAAGGCGAGCAGGACGAGAACAATCAGTCAGCTCTCCACCGTGATGAAAAGAGGATGGACGATTTGCCGCCAAATGTTCGTCGAGTTGAGGATCACGAAGGATCGACTCACGTTGATTCGCGACATGAGCAGATCAGACAGAACGAAGCCATGACCTTCGATCCGCATCAGGAAAGGTTCAACCGAGAGGAAGTGATAGAGGTTGATCGCCGCCGAGTTGTATCGCCTTGGCAAAGAGAGCTCATTGAGGAACGGTCATTCGATCCGTCTTACCGGCCCTCCATGGCTACACTCACTCATCGTGGTTCGGAGAGCAGATCTGTAGCTCATAGAGCTACCGCTGGGCTCCAGAGAGAGAATGAAGCACTCCGATCCGCGGCTCGAACAGTTGATTCACCATTTACTGATGAGATCCTGAATGCTCCGCATCCAAGGAAGTTTGCCATGCCAGTCTTTATTCTGTTTAACGGAACAACCGATCCGATCGATCGTGTGTACCATATCCAGTTGAAGATGGCTCTGAATACGGAGAACGACTCTTTAATGTGCAAATGTTTCCCTATAAGTCTAGCCGGACCGGCGCTTAGCTGGATCAAGAACTTGCCTAGGGGCTCGATTGATAGCTTCCAGAACCTGTGCGATCGGTTCATAAGCCAGTACTATGGGAATAAGCGTCCGCCGAAAGACATCTCGAGCCTATTCACAATGAAACAGCACAAAGATGAACGTCTCCAGGCTTTTCTCACCAGGTTTAACCTCACTAAGAGTATGGTGATTGAATGCCACCCTTCTACAGCGGTTCAAGCCTTCAAGTTGGCCATGACACGTGGCACTCCGTTCCATACCAGTCTGGTAGTGAACACGCCGACGACTATGGATGAACTCAATGAAAGAGCCGATGGCTTTGTGCGCCTGGAAGAAGAGGAGGCAGCCAATGCTCGGACAGCGTCGGTCGTGTCGACCGAGGAAAAGTCCAAGGCAAAGATCAGGCAGAAGCAGGCTCAGCCACAACGTCAGACCTCCTAGAAGGCAGAAAAGAGGTCCAGGGAGGAAGAGCTAATCACTCCGTTGAAGGTCACTCTGGCGAGGCTATATTAGGAGAACAAAGATAAGTTTCATCCACCACTGCCAATTAGGCAACCCCTCGAACAGAGGGATCAGACTAAACATTGTGCTTTCCATTCCGATTTCGGTCATCAGACTAACGAATGCAGGAATTTGAGAAGGCAAGTGGAGATGTTGATAGCTTGAGGGGAGTTCGCGAGTTATGTCCAAGGCTCGACGATAGAGCAGAACCGACCGATGGAGCAAGTAAAAAGAAGTCAGAAGCAAAGCTCCCACAATTCACAACCAGTTCGTATAATCAATGCTATTCACGGTCGACCCGAGCCTAGCGAAGACTCAGATGAGCTACTCCGAACGCGCCTACGGCAGGCGCAGATGAAGAAAAGGGTCAGCAGTGTGAATACTCTGCACCAACAGATCACATCGATACAGATAAAGTTCGACAGGACAGACTTGCTGCGTGTTCAAATCCCCCATGAAGATCCGTTGGTAGTTAGCTTGACAGTGGCGAACTGCCTGGTGCGCAGAGTTCTGATCGATCCCGGAAGTAGTGCGAATGTCATGCCAAGGGACACATTTGATCGGCTCGAGATTAAGCCAGAGAAGCTCAAGCCCACTGGCAATCCCCTGTTAGGATTTGATGGTAAGAGGGTGGAGCCCATCGGTATGGTGGAAGTAGAAGTTCAAGCTGCAGAACGAGCTCTTATGGAAACTTTTGTGGTTGTGGAGATTCACCCCTCGTACAATCTCCTGATGGGAAGAGGATGGATTCACAGAGTCCAAGGTGTACCCTCAACTCTGCATCAGGTCATGAGATGCCTCGGACCCGATGGAAATAAAGTGATAGACATTCGTGGGGATCAGGTTGCAGCCAAAGAGTGTTATTCCGTCACACTAAAATATGCTGGGAAAGGGAAGGCGCCCATCCGTTCGGCGAGCCCAAGATAGCAATTATAGGAACCTCCACCCAAGCAGAATAGGGTGGAGGAGCCAGTTGACTTGACCGAAGAGCCCCTTCTGGATGTGCAGATAGATCAGTCCAAGCCAGAGCAAACTACCAGAGTAGGAGTAAGACTGACCAGGGAAGAGCAGCAGGAGCTAATTGACTTCTTGTCTCACAATGCCGATGTATTTGTATGGAGTCACCTAGAAATGCCTGGAATTAATCCCTCCGTTTCCTGTCATTCCTTGAATTTCAATCCCAATTTCAAACCAGTAAAGCAGAAGCAATGAAGGTTTGCTCCAGAACGTAACCAGATCATAGCCGAGGAGGTTGATAGGCTGCTCGATGCGGGATTCATCAGAGAAGTGCACTATCCTGATTGGTTGTCCAACATCGTTGTCGTGCAGAAGAAGAATGGGAAATGGCGAGTATGCATTGATTTCACCAATTTGAACAAAGCCTGTTCGAAGGATAGCTTCCCGCTGCCTAAGTTTGATCAAATGGTGGATGCCACCACCGGGCATGAGCGTTTAACCTTTCTGGACGCTTATTCAGGTTATAATCAGATCCCTATAGACCCGGTAGATGAAGAAAAAACTTCTTTTGTTACCGAGCGAGGGACATACTGTTACAAAGTTATGCCTTTCGGACTGAAAAACGCGGGAGCAACTTATCAAAGGCTTGTTAGCAAAATTTTCAAGGATCAAATAGGAAAGATTGTGGAAGCCTATATTGATGATATGGTGGTAAAGAGTAGGAAGAAGGATGATCATCTGAAACATCTGCAAGATGTATTTGATGTGCTAAGGCGATATGGGATGAGGCTCAATCCAACCAAGTGCTCGTTCGGTGTGAGTTCCGGTCAATTTTTGAGACACGTGGTCAATCGCAGAGGCATCGAAGCTAGCCCTGCTCAAGCAGAGGCTTTGATTAAGAATGCCGAGCCAAAGACGATCAAAGAAGTGCAAGCCCTCACACGACGAATAGCTGCATTAAGTCGATTCATTTCTAAGTTGTCAGACCGCTGCAAGCCGTTCTTTGACACGATCCGGAGTCATGGTAGACAGGTCTGGGGGGATGAACAACGACAAGCATTAACCCATTTGAAGGAATATATGTAGAATCCACCAGTCCTGTCAGCCCCGGATCCAGAAGAGAAATTATATCTATATCTCGGAGTATCTAGTGTTGCGACAAGTGCCGTTCTGATTCGTTGCAAGGAAGGGGTGCAACACTCGGTGTTTTATGTCAGTAAGACAATGACCGAGGCAGAACAAAGGTACTTGAAGGCCGAACGGGTGATACTTTCACTCGTAAACGTAAAAAGAAAGTTGAGGCATTATTTCGAATCCCACCCTATAGCTGTCCTAACAACTTTTCCAATCAGAGTGCTTATGCACAAGCCAGAACTCTCGGGCAGAATGACAAAATGGGCCATAGAGTTAAGCTCATTTGACATAACGTATGAGCCGAGAACGGCTGTTAAAGGACAAGCGGTAGCCGATTTCCTGCTAGAATGTGACTCTGAGGATACGGAAGAAGACCTTAGATGCGGCTCTTGGAAACTTTATGTGGATGGCTCCTCTAATCAGATGGGGGCAGGAATTGGGGTTAAACTGCAAACCCCAGAGGGTACTTCTTTGAGTCAAGCACTCAGACTTGAGTTCCGAGCCACCAATAATGAAGCGGAATACGAGGCATTGCTGAATGGGTTAAAGTTGGCCAGAGAGCTACAGGTCAGAAGTTTGACTGTTTATAGTGACTCACAGTTGATTGTTCGGCAGGTAAATGGTGAGTACGCGACCAAGGATGACACGATGGAGGCATATCGTTTTGCCGTTCTGCATAAAGCCAAGGACTTTGCAAAGATTGAATTCATACAGTTACCGAGAGAACATAACGCAGATGCAGATCGTTTAGCATGTAGTGCTTCGAGCTCTGGCGAGACATTGGCGAGGGTGATTCCAATAGGAATACTGACCCAACCATCTATTTTTGAAAAACCTTTAGACTCTGAACCTTGGCAAGTCAATGTCATACCGTATGAACCGAGTTGGATTGACCCCATCATCACTTATATTCGAGATGACGTTCTGCCTATGCAAAGGGATGAAGCTAGGAAAATCAAAAAGAATGCTGCAAAGTACGCCATAGTGCATAACCAGCTGTACAGAAGATCCTACTCTGGCACATACTTGAAGTGTGTCACCCCCACAGAGGCTCGGCAGGTGTTGCGAGCTATTCATGAAGGCGTATGTGGAAATCATTCTGAGGGAAGATCGTTAGCGCACAAAACAATGACACAAGGGTATTTCTGGCCGAACATGTCAAGAGATGCGGAGGAGTTCTCTCGAAGGTGCGATAAATGCCAACGGTATAGACCATTGATCCACCAACCACCTGAGGAATTGCACGTAATGGCCTCACCATGGCCTTTCGCGCAATGGGGGATGGATGTGGTCGGTCCTCTACCAACTGCGAGACCTCAGAACAAGTATGTGCTACTGGCCACGGATTACTTTACTAAGTGGGTGGAAGCAGAACCATATCCGAGCGTGACTCAGACTCATGTGAGACGATTTATCTGGAGCCATATTATCTGCCGTTTCGGCGTTCCAAGGTCAATAGTCATGGATAATGGCACGAACCTCGACAGCAAGCAAGTAAGAGAGCTGCTGGAGGAGTATGGAATTAATCAAAAGTTGGCTGCAGTAAGTCATCCCCAGGCCAATGGACAAGCAGAAATTACAAACAGAACAATTTTCGCCTGCATTAAGAAGAAGCTGGAGGACCATAAAGGGAAGTTTAACATGGAGTCAAAGTCAGAACGACAGAATGTTAAGATTGAACCTCGATATGATAGATGAAAAAAGGGACGCTGTAGCCATAAGGCTTGCATCATACCAGCAAGTATTGGCGAATAGTCACAACAAAAGAGTGAAACATAGAGATTTTGCCTCTGGCGATTAGGTTCTGAAAAGAAAGGTGGGAATAGTCAAAAAAATGATGCCACCCTGGAAAGGCCCATACAGAATTGCAGTAGTCATAGGGAAAGGGGCATATACATTAGAAACCATGGCAGGAAGGTTGGTCAACAAGCCCTGGAATGCTACGTCTCTGAAAAGGTACTATCAATAAAAGCTAAGTTTCAGTCTTATCGGATGTTGTTTGTTTTCAATCAAGTACGTATGAACGTGCAAATTCCTGAGATTTATAAAAATAGCTTTCCTTTTCAAGGGTTTAAAAAAAAAAAAAAAATGGATGAAAAAATGAAAAAATAAAAAAGCCAAGTGGCAAGTGGCATTCTAGCCGAGCGCCAGGCACTTAAGCAAGATAAGTGGCAGCTGGCATAATGAGCCGAACGCCAAACACTTGCTAAAAATAAAAAAGCCAAGTGGCAAGTGGCATTCTAGCCGAGCGCCAGGCATTTAAGCAAGATAAGTGGCAGCTAGCACAATTAGCCGAACGCCAAACACTTGCTAAAAATAAAAAAGCCAAGTGGCAAGTGGCATTCTAGCCGAGCGCCAGGCACTTAAGCAAGACAAGTGGCAGCTGGCACCATGAGCCGAACGCCAAACACTTGCTAAAAATAAAAAAGTCAAGCGACAAGTGGCATTCTAGTCGAGCGCCAGGCACTTAAGCAAGATAAGTGGCAGCTGGCACAATGAGCCGAACGCCAAACACTTCCTAAAAATAAAAAAGTCAAGTGACAAGTGGCATTCTAGCCGAGAGCCAGGCACTTAAGCAAGATAAGTGGCAGCTGGCACCATGAGCCGAACACCAAACACTTGCTAAAAATAAAAAAGCCAAGTGGCAAGTGGCATTCTAGCCGAGCGCCAGACACTTAAGCAAGATAAGTGGCAGCTGGCACCATGAGCCGAACGCCAAACACTTGCTAAAAATAAAAAAGCCAAGTGGCGTGTGGCATTCAGGCCGAGCGTCAGGCACTCACTCACACGGCAAAGTCAATATGAAAAAGTATTGAAAGTGGGTTTGAACAGAGCATAGTACAAAAAGTCTTATCGTCTCATTCATAATAAGCTTCGAGGTTACAAAAAGTGAAGCATTCAAATCACATGACTACAAAAAAGTATGAAATTGAGGGATCTGAAGAGCCCTAGCTAGCTGCCTCAGTACTGTCAGCTTCCTGGTTGTGCTGACCCGCCTTCTCGTTCCCATTAGCCATCTCACCCTCACGAGGTGGGGAATCGAGATGAATAATAGAGTCGTTCTGCTGGGGCCCAACATCAGCAGTGACTATGGGAGATACCATAGTTGACGAAGGAAAAGGAAGAGCGATTAGAGGCTAAACGGTAGAAGAAGCTATAGTGATCTTGGAGGAAGCAATCTCCTGACACTCATCAAATATGTGCTCAGCTGCGGTGGATTCTGGGTCAACATAGACCCCCAGAGGGTCAATCCCTAGATCCTTATCAATTTCATCCGGAGTTGAACTGGTCTGGCCCTCAGCCGGAACTCGGTCGGAAAAACCATCTCGGAATCCCTGAGCATATCTAAGAGCTCCAACTCTTAAAAACCGAGCATGAAGAGCCAACATGCCACCATTCACTCTGCTAATGGTGTCAATCAGAGCGTTGCGCTCGTCCAGAGCTCTTTTCTCAAATGTCATCCGAGCAGACTGCTCGTCAACCAGAAGGCGCTGGAGCTCTGCCTTTTCATCTCTGACTGAATCGCGCTCAGTCTGCCAGACACTCTTCTCAAGCTGAAGGGCATCTTTTTCATCCTAAAGAGAGTCGGTTTCCTTCTTCAAAGCATCTCTCTCTTTTTCAGCTTTTTCAAGCCGAGCCAATATCTCGGTGTTCTTGTCGGCAAGAATATTGTTTTCCTTATTAGCCACATCCAAGCTATCAGATAATTTACGGGCCCTGGCGTTCCCCATTTCCACCTGTTTCTGCATAGCCATCATACCGAACAAAGTCTGCATAGATATGCATAAATACTGGTTAAACCGATCGCCTGGTCGGACGAGGGCAAGAGCAAATATTATGAGAAAATTCATGAGTTAGAAAATAAAAGTCACCTCCATGGCAGATTGGGGAAAGCGGCTGAACACATCCTTTTGTGACAGACCCTTCGTTGCCTCAAGGTCTTTTGGAGTCCACATGCTCCTATAGTACGCCATGGCGGTCTGGCCATCCTTGATCATTGTCTCGTTCGGCTTCACGAACGTCCCATCCGTTCGGGTGTATCGAGGAGCCCATGGTGGTAAAACAGGAGTAGAAGCAGAGGCAGAAGCTGAAGCAGAAGCAGAGGCAGCAGCTGCAACAGGCCCGGAGGGGGCAGGAGCTCTGACTGGGCGATGCAAGAGAGCGCTCAGCCCAGAAACTCGGGTCCTCCTTGTAAGAGATTCCTCCTCGAGGTTGACTCCACCGTCAGGATGAGGTCTTTTGCCTCGTTCTTTGTCCCAAACACCCCCAGCAGCAGCAGGAGTAGTAGTGATCTGTGGAGATGTGCTCGGGTTGGTAGTAGGGGTGCTAACAACAGGATCAATAGCCACCACACTCGGGATAGTGTCAGAGATGGTGGCTGAAGAAGAGGCTGATGCGGGAGAGGAGGTTGCTCCAGCAGCAGTAGTGGCTGGGGGAGGATTTTTCCTCCTACCAAAGGAAGGAATCTGAAGCCTGCTCATTGTATAGCCGAGGGATGAGAGCGCTAGAAGGTTGTCTGAAGTGAGGAGGTCTGAGCAAGAAGGAATATCGTTTAGAACGTATTTCTTCAAGTAATTAGTCATATTCCTGCAAACACTGTAGCTCAAGTCATCACAAGGTATACCTAAGGAGCGACATAAGAAAGTACAAAAGCGAGGAACACATGTTTCACAGGGACAATCGTTTTTATGAGATTTGAATTTCTTATACGAGGAGACAGAACAGACGCCAAAGGCGCTCGGGATTGGGTAATCCTCTGCAGCCGGCGAAGACCATGCCCCACTAACACCCACAATGTTATCCCTCCAACCCTTTTTCAGATTTGATTGTATCCGTACATATAGACATCTTGTCAATCAGGTAAAGGTGGTAGAATGGCTCTTCAGTTCGGATCTTACTGACCTTATAGCAAAGAAGAAGATTTATGAGGTCAAGATCCAGACCTCTGTCACGAATCAGTAGTAACATAACGGATATGATATTAAGGAAATTTGGGTTTACCTGCAGAGGGGATATCCCCAGTCTATTGAAAACATAGTTAAAAAAGGGATGCAGAGGGAACCTAACGACATTTAGTTGCAGGTTAGTAAATAAAACCTCGCCGGGAAGAAGGCCGGCACCGGTCATAATATTAACATCCCTATGGCAAACCCTAACTTGGATGTCGTTAGGAAGTCTAAGTCTCATACGAAGAACATCTAGATTTACAACCATGGTGAAAGCGAATGAAGGATCCAAAAGTGTAAAAGAAGTCTACCGAAAGTAAAAAGGAACAAGACTAACCTCTGGGGTAGAAAGCAGCAAAGAACGCTGCAAGATCGCTGGAAGAGTGACTCTTGAAGAATTTCACCGGATGAAACTTAGCACGGTTCTAAAAAGACAAGCGAGAGATTTGACTGATGATGGAGAGAGATGGAGACGGTAAAAAGGCATGAAGTGACATTCTAGAGCCTTATAAAGACGAAGTAGACCCGAGGGCCGAAGCGTCAGGGAGGCGAGAAGTTTATCGAATCTCGGAACATTGATTCCGGATCCGACCGTCCATTCCCCCATAAGAGTGTCTTGAGCCGTCAACGTCATGATGAGACGCCTTTGATAATTACCCCCTTATTAAATAGGGAGTAATTATGGGGGCAGTTGAGGAGGCCAGAAGTGATATGGGCCGGATATGACCCGCGAACATGGCATCCGGTCCGAGCAGCTGGGTCCAGCCCATAAAGAAATACTGCCATATGGGCCGAACACGAATAGCCCATCGAAGATGACCAAAGCCCACAGAGGAACGTGCCCAGATCTAGCAACCCATTAATGTTTGTAAATACCTATAAATATGAGAAGTAAGGGTGAGAGAGATTCATTCTGTTGAAGTGTAAGAATGTTGAAGTGTAAGAATTCTAGAGAGAGAAAATAGAAATGAATTCCTTGCATCTTCACTAATATATGTCAGTTTTTTTTTTTTTATCGAGAAATGTTTTTTTGCTCGATTTTTAAAATAAGAGATAAAAGTGCTATGTGCATATACTTTTAAGGGTTTTTTTTTGCACTTGTCCCTTATTTTATATTATTCTTGTTGAATTATATGATCTATTGTTATTAATGCTTATTATTTAATTTGTGATGGAAGGGACAATGCTTATTATTTAATTTGTGATGGAAGGGACAATATAAAATATCCCAACAATATTATTACATTGGAAAAAAAAAAAAAAAAAAAAAAAACACACTAGCTCGGCACCACCACAGTCGCTCAAGCAATCCTTCAAACAGGAGACAGACGTTCAACATATATTTAAAGTACTAGTATACCCACTGCATTTATCCTTATTTTTATTTCATACCCCTCACTTTTTCTCTCTCTTCCCCTTGACCCATGACCATCATCTCAATTCATAAATTCCTATCAAAACCTTTCAAATCACCTATTCTTTATCTATTCTCTTCTTTCTCCAAAGAAAACCCAAATAGACCAACGCACCTATTTTTCTTCACAAAAACTAGATGATTTAGTAAATGATTCATATATTTATATAGGTTGGCAATCAACTTATATAAACAACATGGAATTAGTGTCTTGAAAAAAGTATCCAAGAAAAAATAATTTGGCATTGAATTAATTTTTTTAAATGCTACGCTCAATTGAATCATCAGAAAAATTACCAAGATCTGGAACCTCTATTAAAATATATATATATATATATATATATATATAAAATAAAAATAATAATCCAAGATTCTAAAACAATTGCAGATAGTCAAACAATTTATCATTGAGACAGAATGTATAAAGAAAATATAGAGAGGATACTTTTAACGGTTGCAGGGGTTTTGGAGTGAGACACCATCTCGTCAGTAAGCCGAAAGAGACTTTTCTGGACAAATCTGCGACCCGAACTTCACGGCGAATATCTAGTCAGACGAGAAGTTTTCCGACACCTTCGCCGACCGGAGGGCATGCCGTTTTGAACGATTGACGTGGCTTATCAGATTCGCTTTACTGTTCGCCACAAATTTTTTGGCAAGCATATCATATCAATCTGGGTATTTTTCAATCTGACCTTGTCACACACACACACACTCTCTCTCTCTCTCTCTCTCTCTCTCTCTCTCTCTCTCCAATGAAACTAAGTGACAATTCGTATTCGTGGGTATTGTAGTGTTGGTATCTTGTTGTAAGATTATTATATTAAATTGATAAATTCAAATTGAATCGAAATCAACTCATTTAATAATAGTGTCAAGAATTTCAATAGTAACCCAACCCGTTTATTAAACAAAGAAACGTGATATCAACGAGTCAGTGATCTAATAGTATCAGTTTCTTACTCCCTAAAGGGAAGTCAGGAATTCAACTTTCAGAAGAGACATACGTGTGTGAGTACCAACTAAAAAAAAAAATAAACGTGATCTATTTATCAAACACGACATTTAATATTTAATCAAATATTAAATAATACAAAAAAAAATGATCATAATTAACCCAAATATTCAAAATAAAAGGAAAAATCATAAGTATAGACAAAGTTTATATTGAAAATGACTTAACTATCAATAGTAATTAGATTTAAACAGCTAACATATTATATAGGTCATATTCACGATTATAACATGTTGAGTTAAATAGGTCATTAACGAGTTGAACCCCTCAACCCTAACCCGACACGGTTAAGTAAACGGATTAATCATGACAATTTTTTATGACCCAAACCCGTTTATGCTAAACCCAAACCCTTTTAACTTGTGTCGTGTTGTCGTGTCGTAATTTGTCACCCCTAAATGAGCCTACGTGCAACTCTCAATTTTTTTTTTTATATTTTCGATATATAAAATTTTAAAACTACCCTCTAAATTTATTCATAATTTTATTTTATATTACAAAAATTTTAAGTATTTTATACTAAATTCTTTGAATCTTTTGAATGCATGGTGTTATTGAGTTGTTTTAATAGTTGCATTATTTTTCATATGTAACAATTCATAATATTAATGCACTCATTTTGTATATAGTTGTGATTTAGAATTACGTTGGTACTATTTATGAAACTCGTGTATTTGTTTATGTAATTTCTTCGTAAGTTGTTAGATATAAGAATACAAGGTAGGCAGCTCATTGGTAAAAAAAAAAAAAAGGTAAAGTACAAGACACCCCTTGAGGTTTGCTATAAGGACAATCAGATACAAGTTAATTTCTTTTTGGACAATGACACCCCCTATAAAAAAATTCAGCCAAACAGCCCCTAAAAAGTTGGCAACATTTAAATAATTTTTTAATATAAAAAACCTGAAGACTTAAATGACAGAATTGCCCCCTTCTCTCTCTTTCTTATGTCTCGTTGCAGACAAATTTTCAATCCAATACCCATGACTTCATCTATCCTCCCTCTTTCCCTTCCTTTTATCCTCCCTCCTCTCCTTGTCTTCATCCCCTATTCTCGTCCACCATTACATACCTTTGCAGCAAATCTAAAACCCATAGTTTGGGTAGGTCTTAGAAATTGCCCATCTCAATCAATTCCCCACTCATCCTCAAACTTACCCATCGAAATCAAATGCTCTGGCGGTCAATCCAGTCTTGAATCTCCGACTTGATAGAGCTGGCGACGTGGGAGATCTCGTGGGTGGTAAGGTGAGGTAAGGATCGTTGGAGAGGATTTTGTCGCTCTTGGTTTCGAGCTCGGGCATGGCTTTGTGGTAGAGGAGTAGGTGTTTGGGTTGGTCTGTAACAAATTCGAAGCTCGAAGGGCATATTCCAACCTCTTGCTCGGGCAATCACCGACGGTGATTATATCACACGCGAGTTTCAGAATGAACAGGGCTGAGATCGAGGTCGAGAGAGGACTTTGTCGATAACTGGCTTCTTCGACAACTTCTTTTTGACGGAGCTCCGATCCATTGATAGCTTAGCCTGTGAAATCGACAGTGAAGGCGAGAGAGGGACCGACAGTGCTCTACGCTGGCTGGTTGAGCGGCGACTAAGTCTTGCGATTGTGGTTGTGGTTTGTAATGTTTCCAATTTTCGGCATTTTTCATTTTTTTTGGGGCCGAACAGTCTCGTGTGGGACTCGCTACCGGAGTTGTTGAATCCGGGGATTTTAGTTGGGTCTATTTGCATCTTACTCATTTTATTTTATGTGTTTTAGGTGATTATGAATTAAATGTGTATATGTATGTGGGTGGTGTAAAAAGAAATAAAGATAAAACAAAAAAAAAATTTAATTTTTTGTGGTGGGTCCCACCACCACCTTAAAGGGGCAAAGAGACCACAAATGGTCTCAAATCTCTCTTTCTCACGTAGCTCTCTCTCTCTCTCCCCTCTCATTTTCTTTTCATTTTTCTTTTTCTTGAGATTTTGATTTTCTCTTCCATTTTTCTGCTAATCGGTCGGATTTCCGGTCTAGGTTCCTTGACAAAAAACGTTCCTCTCATCGTTCTTTACCACATAATCAAAGGGTTTATTTTTCAGAGGAGCGATAATTATTTTATG